GTTTCTTGAACCTCTTCCAACATAAGAGTTGTCCGGGCACGTATCAGATTTCAAAGAAAAACTTGGAGAACTCCTGTGCCCATCGAATCTGTCTCTGGTTGAGTACTCGTGCGGTCCTCCAGTACTCCAAGTTCTTGTGATCTGTGCAAACCTGGATCTGTTGTTGCGCCCCTATCAGTAGATGACGCCAAAGACGAAAGGCCGCGTAGATCGCCAGCAGTTCGCGGTCATACACGGTATAGTTTTGCTCCGACTTGCTCAGTTTTCTCGAGAAAAAGGCACACGGTTTCCATTCCTGCTTGCCCCTCCCTGGCTGCAAAAGGACCGCCCCGATGGCTCTGTCGGACGCGTCGGTCTCTAGCCTCATGGGTTTCTCCAGATCTACGTGCAGGAGTTGCTCTTCCGATGCGAACGCCTTCTTCAGTTTTTCAAAGGATTGCTGGGCCTCTTCTGTCCACACAAACTTCTTTTTGCTACTGAGACAATCCGTGATGGGCGCTGTCAAGTGGGCGAGTTCTTGATGAACTTCCTGTAGAAGTTGCTGAACCCTAGGAACCTCTGCACGTCCTTCCGTGTTTTGGGAGCCTTCCACTCCAGCACTGCCTGCACCTTGCTTGGGTCCATCGCTAAGCCTTTGTCAGACAACTTGTACCCCAGAAACTCGACTTCTCTGGCGTGAAACTGACATTTTTCCAGCTTGACCCACAACTGTTGCTTCTGCAGCCGTTGTAACACTTCCCTGACGTCTCTAACATGTTGCTCCTCGTTGTCCGAATAAATTAAGACGTCGTCCAAGAAGGCTACGCAGTTCTTGTACAGCAGAGACCCCAACACGTGGTGCATGAAAGCTTGAAAACAGGCGGAGCCCGACTGTAATCCAAAAGGCATAACTAAGTACTCAAAGGCACCTAGGGGTGTGAACATTGTGGTCTTCCATTCATCCCCCTCCCTCATCCTGATCAAATTGTATGCGCCCTGAGGTCCAGCTTGGTAAAAATTTTCCCTTTCCTCACTCGCGTTAAAATGTCGTCAATCCTGGGCATTGGGAAGGTCACGGGTTCTGACACCAAATTGACGGCCCTATAGTCCACAACGAGCCTGGGGTTATTTGTGTCCTTTTTGTCCACAAAGAACACCGGACTGCCCCCCACCAACTTTGATTCTCTTATGAAGCCTCTTTTCAGGTTCTTGTCAATAAATTCTCGCAACTCCTTCATCTCCCTGTCCAGCATGGCATACAGCTTACCCACTGGCAGCTGAGCCCCTGGGAGCAAGTTGATCTGGCAGTCAAAGGGCCTATGGGGTGACAGTCTATCTGCCTCCTTCTCGCTGAAGACCTCCCGCAGATCTGCATATTGCGGCGGCACCTCTCCCTTCCGCTCCACAGCCATCCCAGCCACCCTGGCCACGCTCATCCTTGGGGTTGCTCCTCCTAGACAGTGTTCCAGGCAGTAAGCTGACCCAAAGGTGACTGTCCTCTGATGTCACGCCACCACTGGATCATGTTGTGCTAGCCAGCTCATCCCTAATATTATTGGGGGCCCTGCTAGTGAGGCGACGTGAAAGGCGATGGTCTCCGAGTGCCTGGACACCCTCATTCTCATTGGTGGGGTCTGGTGTGTCACTTCCCCTCCTAGAAGCTCCCTGCCATCAATGGTGGTCACTTGCAAGGGAAAATCCAAAGGCAGTAAGTGGAGCTGGTGCTCTAATGCAAAGTCTTTGCTGAAGAAATTACATGAGCTGCCTGAATCCAGCATCCCTTTCACCTTGACTGGGTGCCCGTTCGGGAGTTCTAGCACCACTTCGATGGCTATTGCCGCCTTGGGGGGGTCTGGTTGGGGCACTTTTACTGGTGGCTGGCCTGGCTGCTGTGCCCCTTGATTGGCAGCCAAGCGTTCCCGTTTCCCTGTTCCAGTTCCTTTACCACCTCCTCCTCACCCCCTGCGGCTCCCACCATTCCTTGCCAGGCCTTTCTTTGAGGGCAGGCTCTGGCAAAATGTCCTGGCCGCTGGCAAAGGAAACACTTCTTGGTGGTTTTCCAATCCTTTCCCTCCTTTTTGCGCCCTTCGCTGGTGCTTGAAACTTCCCACGCACGTGCCCCATCTATTTCCATTGGCTCTGCTGGCGAGGAAGGCTGCCTTGGTATTTCAGGAATGCGGTAGTCATGGCAACGTTGCTCTCTCCCTTCCCGCCTCTCCTGCTTCCTGCCGCACGCCAATTGCAAGCACAGCCTTGGTCAGCTGATCCATCCCCTGTGGGCGGGGTGCGCGGGAAAGCTCATCCTTAACCGTTGGGGACAACCCCTCCTCAAATAACATTTGTATGGGTTCAGAGTCCAGTTGCCACCCGAGGCGGTGAACTATCATGGCAAAGCGCGACCAGTAGTCTCTAACTGACTGGTTCCCCTGTTTACAGTTCATCAGTTCCCGCTTTGTCACACTTTGTTGTACATCACTGGAAAACATTGCATCCATTGCCTGGAAGAATTTCCTCAGGTCCTGCATGGCGGCATTCTGCGTCGCCATAAGGGGCCTGACCCATTCCCTGGCCCCATCTTGCAGGTGACCCACAATATATGCCACCCTCGCCGCATCGTCTTCAAAATCGTCATGCTGCAGTTCCAATGCGTACTCTATTTCCGTTCGGAACGCACTATAGTCCTGCGGCTTCCCCCCAAATTTGTGCACCAGTCCCGGTACCTTCCTTGCTATGGGGGTGGGCCTGACCTGTGCATCTTGAGACCGCCTTTCGTCCAGCTGCGCCGTCAGAATGGCCACATGCTGCTCCAACTCTCGGTTCCTCTCCACCAGAGTTTGCCCTCCAGCTGCTCCCTCCTGGGTGCTCGCTTCTCCGGGTTTGCTCATGATGCTGCCTGCCTGCTGCTGCGCACGAGCAACTTTCAGGGACTGACGGATTGCTGTAATGAGTATGAGTTACTCGTGCGTAAACTGGTGCCTCTCTAGGCTAATTTGCCTTGTTAAACCTTTCTGACTGCACAGCCCTTTCTCATCGTGACTGCCTCAGTCGCTGGCAGAATCCGTCAGTGGGCGTTTCTTGAACCTCTTCCAACATAAAAGTTGTTTGACACCCAGTCTCCTCCTCCTCTCACTGCGCGGGAGTCTTCTGCGCAGGGAGGGCGTGGGTAGCGGAGGACCTGTCCCCTCCTCACTGAGGTCCAGTGAAGAGTCCTGGAGCCCTCTCTCCGATTCCCCCATCTGCCCCCCTTTATCCCTGGTGTTGCGCTGATTTGCTTCCCCCTCTACTGAGCTGTTTCTCCCCCTGCTGCTGGGTCCTTCGCCAGCATCATCTAGGAGCCTCCCCTTCGCCTCTCGCTCTGATGTCAGTTCCCTATGTGTTGACAAAAATCAGCTGATAATGCCACAAAAATGTAATCAATTTTGTCACAAGATCTGATTTTTTTCAAATCAACATAGCACAAAAACCTGACCTGATGGAGAGAAACGGATGCCATTTCCTGATTCAGCAGTGCAAAAATACCCTAAATCAATTGTAGAAATCTAGACAACATTCAAAAAGTAAAAAATTGTTGCCCAGTGTAGCCATTCTGTTGTGGAAATGCTTTGAACACAGATTCTGTAACACTTCACCTTAATGTGGCTTCAAACCACTGTATGGAATGCACAGACTTTTGCACCATGCAGTTATCTGAAGAGAGTGGGCACCACCCCTACATACATCCCTGCCAGCCCCATTTCCACATGATCCACTTGCTGGAAGAACGTCTGAAGAAAAGAAGCCTATGAACATATGCAGAGCTTCAACTGCCAGAGACAGCCTATGCACATTTTTGGGCTTCCATGGACAGTGTGTGGGGGGGGGGGGCTGATTGCAGCCATGTGACATCAAGGGCAGGGCTAAATGAGCTTTTCAACATGCCTTTCCCCTTCATCATTAAATGGGCTGTTGTTTTCATCTTTGTAGAAACTCACATAGTATAATTTTCTGTCACATTCAAATGAGTGGCTTGTACTATAGCAGGTGTTCTCAGACTATGTTCCCTTGAATTCCAGGGTCTCTTGATAAGTAGCCCAAAATGTCTGCCATTACCAATCTTCCTGTGCAGTGTGCAATCTCAGGAATGTTGGATATTCTGTAAGTGTTGGTTGCCCAGTGGGCCATGTACTCTGACCATGCAGTGTATCCCAGAATCCTCTGCAGCATGCTGAAGTTATGCAGCAGTTACTGGTGAATTCAACAGCAGTAAAGTGGATGTAAACACTCTTTCTATAGGAGCTCTGGAAAACATTTCAATTCTCAGAAAGTGCATGCAGCGCTTGGTTGTAAATAACCCCTCAAATCAAATGGCAGTCCGTCTCCTTTTTGGAACTAAGTTCTTCAACTGAACTTAGAATGGCATTATTTCCACTTGTTGGGTACACAAATGTTATAATCACACTTATTTACCGTATTTTTCGCTCTATAACACGCACCCGACCATAACACGCACGTAGTTTTTAGAGGAGGAAAATCCGTAGGCATGCCACCCGTAGGCATTCCCTCCATAACACGCACAGACATTTCCCCTTACTTTCTAGGAGGAAAAAAGTGAGTGTTATAGTGCAAAAAATACGGTATATATGGTGAAGACTTCTTTCATGAGAAAGACTTGAAGCTTCTATGTAACACCAAGTTCATGGTAATAAGAATTTATTCACCTCTTTGCAGGCATTTAATAGTGTTCTGTACCAGTGTTTCGCATTTAAATCCTTAAAACTAGTTTATAGCCCTCACGGTCTCTGAGAGATGTTTTGAAAAAGATGGTGTCAGAAGTTGCATTGAGGAGAATAAATATGTAATTTCCAGAAAGTTTGAAGCCATGGACCCACTCCTGTTGTTCCTCAGCTTTTTTGTGTGTGTTGGGTAGTGGTGGCGCAAACTTTGGAACAAATTGAAATATGCACTTAGAATCATAGTATTGCAGAGTTGGAAAGGAACACAAGGGTCATCTAGTCCAATGTCCTGCAATGCAGGAATCTTTTTGCACAACACAGGGCTTGAACAGACGACCCTGAGATTGAGAGTCTCATGCTTTACCAACTGAGCCATCAAGCCTAAATTATTTTTCTGCTTTAAAAACATAAACTGCAACACATAACTCAGCACATCAAGTGTACTTTTTATCATTTCAATGAAAACTAAAGAGCAGTCCTATGCATGGTTTTCCTAAGAATTAAGACCTAGACTGTTTAGGGAACCTTGCTCGCAGGGAAGCATACATAGGATTGCAGCTTCAAAAGAAGGAGTGCCTTGCAATGCAATCCTATATGTGTATATTCAAAAGTAAGCCAACTGTAGGATTGCCATATATCCGGAATACCTAGAATACTGTAGTCGGAATGTTAATGGAAAAATCTGAGGGCTCCCTTGGACAAAAAACAAAGACACCAACCAGGATTACTTGGAGCAAAACAGCAGCCTGTAGGCTTGGCCTTTATTGATCTGTTGCAACAGGGTGCTCCCCTCACCTGCAGGAGAGAGGAGGGACACAGAAAAATGGTGTGCAAGGCCTTATAAAGACTTTTGAAACTGCCACCCTGTAGATCAAGACCACCCCCAGAAACATCATACATACATCACAGAAGGGGTGTAACCTAAGACCACCCCTCAGATACATCACACCTACATCACAGAAAAGGCGGTCTAAAACAGAAATTTTAATATTGTTTATCTCCTGTTGTTGTTTATCTCCTGTCTGGCAGGTTACTTGATTGGATTTCCTGGGTAGCCTGGCCAGTCTTTTGTAGTGATAAATACTTAGTTCCTGGGCCATGTCACAGGCTCACATCCTATTCAAACACAGGCATACCCTTAAGACAGGATTTGTGAAGGAAAAGACAATGGGGAGGCTTTTCCAGTTTGACCTTGCAGAGAAAACATTTGCTCAGTTTAGGAATCAAAATGGTTCCAGGTTGGCCTTCCTGTGCTGATCTATGTATGTGCTTGGTTGGTACACTTATGAACATTACCATATATTTAAGACCATAACATTCCTATCACAGGAAGCAGTGTCTGGGAAATCGGAAAACTCTCGGGCGGGGGGGAATCCGGATGTATGGCAACCCATATCGGCAGTGTCATTTTTGCCCCCCAAAAAACTGAATTCACTGGGACTCACTCCCAAATAAATGCATACAATATTGCAGCCCTAGTTTTATACAAGTTGTTATGTACTGAGTTGAATAGGATCCAAAGTGCAGCAGTCTGATTGGTCCTAGAACAATAGGATCCAAAATGCAGCAGTCTGATTGGTCCTAGAACAATAGGATTCAGAATGCAGCAGTCTGATTGGTCCTAGAACAATTCAGCAGTATGATTGGTTGGCAGGAACCACCCAATCATGCTCCAGATAGAATTGAATCCACAACCTGATTGGCTTAAGTAGAATTCCGGAATTAGCCAATCATGTGCAGCCCATTGTGTAAATAATGTATATAAAGCAGATACTTTGAGGGGACTTTCATTCATTCCTCCTCACCACTATGAGCTGAATAAAGAGCATGAAATCACTTTGTGACTCTGAGTATATTTCACTGGCGACGAAGGTGGGATCCCGCTGAGCTGACTGCTACACACAGCACCGCAGCACCGCCACCTGCCGCACCGCTGCCTCGCACCGTGTATCCAGGCTTCAGCTCCGGGACACAAGGAACTCAGAATGGCAACCAACAGCAGCTTCTCGCTGTTCAACCCAGCATATGGAGACTGGGAACCGTACGCCTCCTGTTTCACTTTCCTCCTAGAAGCCAAAGGGGTCACCGACGAAGAAGACGCCAAGAAGAGGGCGATATTCTTCAGCGTCTGTGGAGAGGAGACATTTGAAATCGCCCTGGCTCTCCTTGCGCCTGAAGACATCGCTACTGTTCGATACAAAACAATAATGGAACAGCTGAAGGGGCACTTTTCGCCACAGCCCTCAGTGGTGGCTCGTCGAAATGCCTTCTACGCAAAGCGGCAAGCCCCTGGGGAAACCATAACTGGGTTTGTGACCTCTCTCTGCCAAGCCGCCCGGTTCTGCAACTTCTCAGAGCTGGAGAACATGCTTCGTGACTGCCTCATCGGTGGCCTGAAGGATGAGAAGCTGCAACGACGCCTCTATGCTAAGAAGGACCTAACAAGTTCAGTTGCCGCGTCCGCCCTCGGTATTGCACCCTGAAGGTCCCCACCCCCATTGTGGGGACCTTACGTTTCTGGAAGTCCCGGAGGGTGAATGGGGCCGGCATGAGTTTGGGACCCCCAGTAGGACACAGTTTCCTTAAGGTCCTTGCCGAGATTATGGATAGAGTTGAACCTGTGTCAGCTCCATGCGGCATGGGGCCCCTCTATCTGTACATCTACATAAATTTTCTACGTTGGGGTGGGGCAACTGGTATACCTGGAAGTCCATGAGCTCCGTCGAGTTGCCTTGGTGCGTTGGGCCCCGGGACCTGGGGCTCTTAGATTGGTCATCTGATGCCTGGTGTTGGGTGGGCCGAGCCCGACACACCCGGGCGATGTGTCCCGATTTTCTGCACTGCCTGCACTCTGCGTTGCGGAAACGGCAGGTCCTCCTCTCATGACTTTCCCCGCAGCTTGCGCAGTTCCCTCCTCGTCGAGGCAGCTGTGGTATGTGGGCTGCTTGAGTGCGCTGCTGTACTCGGTGCACCTCCTCCCTGTCGGATCCTGAGTCGTCGGTGAGGTCTTTGTGGTGGACCCTCGGTTGGCACGGCAGGCTCGACCTCTCGGCAGCTTCCGTTGCCAGGGCCTCCTCCAGAGCGACCTGGAACGTTAGGTCCTTCTTAGCATAGAGGCGTCGTTGCAGCTTCTCATCCTTCAGGCCACCGATGAGGCAGTCACGAAGCATGTTCTCCAGCTCTGAGAAGTTGCAGAACCGGGCGGCTTGGCAGAGAGAGGTCACAAACCCAGTTATGGTTTCCCCAGGGGCTTGCCGCTTTGCGTAGAAGGCATTTCGACGAGCCACCACTGAGGGCTGTGGCGAAAAGTGCCCCTTCAGCTGTTCCATTATTGTTTTGTATCGAACAGTAGCGATGTCTTCAGGCGCAAGGAGAGCCAGGGCGATTTCAAATGTCTCCTCTCCACAGACGCTGAAGAATATCGCCCTCTTCTTGGCGTCTTCTTCGTCGGTGACCCCTTTGGCTTCTAGGAGGAAAGTGAAACAGAGAGCAGCTAATGTAGGGTCCTGGAGCCCCCTCGCCGATTCCCCCATCTGCCCCCCTTTATCCCTGGTGTTACGCTGATTTCTTTCCCCAGCTGGTGAGTCGCCTCTCCCCCTGCTGGGCCCCTCTCCAGCATCGCTCGAGAGCCTAGCCTCCGCCTCTGGCTCCGATGTCAGTTCCCTGACATCCACCTCCCCCCAGGACCCCCTTCACCCCCGGCCCGACCTTTTGATCCAACCTCGTCCCTTTCCTCGGCCGACGATGCAGGGAATCCCCGGAAGGAGCTGTCGCCATCCTCTGAGGATTCAAAACCCGCTTCCCACCCGCTCCGATCTCTCCCCGCGGGATGGGCCTCCCAGTCTGATTCTTCTTCCTCCGAAGCCTCTCCTCCCTCCTCTTCGGAGGCAGAAAACCCCACAAAATCCTCTTCATCACCTGTGGTTCCAAATTGCTCCTCCCAGAATCTCGCTAGTGGCTTGGGTTTGTCCGGGAACAGGCTGTGGAATTCCTCCACAAGATACCCATCATTGATTGCCTCTGCGGGAACCCACGTGTTTTCCGACCTGGGTTCTCCCTCCCAAGCTACCAGGTACTCCACCTGGCGCCCTTGCCACCTTGAATCCAGTATTTCCGTGGCCCGGTTGTGGTGTTCCCTCTCCTCGATCTGCGGGTGTGTGGTGACTTCGCCTTCCCGCCCCGGGACTCCTCGCCCCTCCCTGTACGGTGAGAGTAGGGACCTATGGAACACCGGGTGTATCTTCATGCTGTCCGGCAACCTGAGCTTGAATGCCACGTGGTTCACCTGCTGTGTTAGCTCAAACGGCCCCAGCCGCCTTGGCTGCAACTTCTTGCACACCCCCTTAAAGGGTAACCCTTGGGTTGACAACCACACCCGGTCCCCCACCCATATGGTCTCCCCTTCCCTACGGTGCTTGTCTGCCTGCCTTTTGTAAATTTCCTTGGCCCGTTCTAAGTTCATCTTAAGTTGCTGGTGCAGGGCCTCCATTTCTTCCACAAACTGCTCTGCCGCTGGTACGCTCCACCCTTCCTCCCCACTCCCCGGGAAGGCCCTGGGGTGACACCCATAATTGGCCATGAACGGGCTCAATCCCCTGGAAACATGTTCAGCGTTATTGTACGCAAATTCAGCCAGCGCTAGTTTCTCTACCCAATCGTTCTGCCTCTCGCTGATGTAGCAGCGTAGGTATTGCTGGAGTACACTGTTCGCTTTTTCTGCTTGCCTGTTGGTTTCCGGATGTCTCGCTGTCGAGAAGCCCACCTCTACCTGCAGCAAGCTCATGAGCTTCCTCCAGAACTGGGAAGTAAATTGTTTTCCACGATCCGAAATTACTCTCGAGGGAGCCCCATGCAACTTGAAGATATGATCCACAAACAACTTGGCTGTCTCCTCTGCGGTCACCGCATGTGAACACGCTATGAAATGGCACATCTTTGTCAATAGATCGACTACTACCATGACTACTGTCTTCCCCCGGGACTTGGGCAAATCGGTCATAAAATCAATGGACACCACCTCCCAGGGTCTTCCCGGCGTGGGTAAAGGTTCTAGTAACCCTGCGGGGGCAGCCCTTTTCCCCTTTGCCCTTTGGCAGCGGTCACACCCCCGTACATACTCCCGTATATCCTCCCTCACCTTTGGCCACCAGAACTGCCTGGTGACGAGCATCATGGTTTTGTGCTGTCCAAAGTGCCCAGCCGTGGGGTTGTCGCAGAGTTGTTTGAGTAACTTTCCCCTCAGGGTCTCCCCCGGTACATACAGCGCCCCCTTATAGTACAGCACCCCTTCCTTTTCCTCAAAACCCCCTTGGTTTTCTCTTCCCTCTCGAAGTTCCCGGATTTTAGTTTGAGCGAACACGTCATTTCTAGTAAGCCCGGCC